AGAGAGAGAGAGAGAGAGAGAGAGAGAGAGAGAGAGAGAATACAGAATACAAAATTGGATTCTATGAATGTTCATCTTTTAAAAGCGAATCGTTCTAGAAGGCAGCTTACTAAGTTCACAGACAGCCTTTATGGCTAACTGAAATGCAGTTTCTAACGAGAGTAAGTACACAATTGGTTATTTCATTAGTGCATTTAACTGTGACAGATTTAACAGTTGTTAATCGTTAAATGCATCTTTCACGGAACATTTTTTATATGTGAACCTCTGCACTTGAGAGCGCAGGCGCATCAATTTATTGGCGTATAGGAGCCAGACCTCACATGGACTCTCCATTTGCGCACAGGATGCGCTGGAGAGGACTATCACCGGAACACAACACATTCATGGCAATATTCGTGTATACTGGCACTTGAGATTCAGAATGACCACGAGCTGATCTGATAACATGTCTGACTTAATATTAACACCGACGGACGATGTAAAGTTTCTGGGCGACTCTCCGGAGCGCAGCAACATCAGCGCTGCTCCGGAGCATCCGCACTTGCATTCAGGCATCGTTATCGCCACCGTTTACGCGCTCCTCATTACTGCTGGACTAATTGGTAATGTGACGCTCATTAGGACGTTTTGCATCGTGAAATCCATGCGCAATGTACCAAATCTCTTAATGTCGAGTCTCGCTCTCGGAGACGTGCTGCTGCTGGTCACCTGCGCGCCCGTAGATGCCAGCAAGTTTCTAGCGGACGAGTGGCTTTTCGGGCGGATAGGATGTAAACTCATCCCGTTCATCCAGCTGACATCGGTTGGAGTCTCGGTGTTCACGCTCACAGCGCTGGCAGCGGACAGGTAGCAAGTCTAAATAAATAGCCCATTCTTGTTTGCCTCAATGTGTTTTAGAGAGCAAAAACTTCAATTGTTCGGTAGCACTTTAAAATAACCTACTATTTCTATTTAAATGTTAATGTAATTGATCCTTTTACTATTTGATTAGTAACATAAACAGCCGTTCTTCTTAAACATAAGTCTCTATAAAAAATACAAAAGGATTATTGTGGTTAAAATGGTAATTGAAAATGTATATACTGTTGCAAAATCGTATTGAATTATTTGTAAGGGTCTGTTTTTAGTAGCCTGGGTTTGTTTATACATTAGTGTGACCAATACATTATTAAAATCTAAAGTTATATCTGTTAATATTATTTAATGGAATAAGCTAACTTGAACTAACAATGAATAGTATTTTTGTTCACTAATGTTAATTATCTGTCTGATGATCTGTCCCACTTGTCAAAATAATTAAGGTGAAAAGCAGTGCCTGTGTTCATTTGTCTGTCATTATCACATCATTTTGTAATTTTATATTTAATAGGTTTTAGCAACACACAAAAACTCTGAGAACCTACCAAAACCCGACTTTTGTGTGGTTCACAAAATAGAAGATAAGGCTGACTTTAGTGGTTCAGATCGGAACACATTCTATTCTACTCTATATTTGTATCCCATTTACACAAGGCTCCAATTTTATGCCTTCTTAGTCTGTTTGTTCTCCCGAGGAAGTGTGTGACTTGGTGTGTGATAGTAGCAGATGAGTGGAAATGAAAAATAACGTGTCTAATGATTGAGAAAACGGCTTCCTCTGCCTCTTAGTGTTGATGCCAGAGCACTCAAGAGTAACAAGTGCACCTCAAGGGCTATAGATCAACTGAGGGTCAAGTTGCTGTCAGATTAAATGAGAAACAATGGTGACATTCTGTGGTGACATGATTAGTGTTTTTATACAATCAAAAGTCAATTTATTAAAATTATTAAGAATAATTATTGTTCAGTAATACTTTACAAAATTATTCAAAACAGGAAATATGGTTTCTCAAATTTTTTTTAATGAGGAGTTGCTGACTGAGGGGGCGGGGGTGTTGGTTTAGGGACAATTCTTTGTAAGGCTGCTTTATTGGGAATGCACTACACAAATGCAGGTGATTGAAATGAAATTCCACTTACACTTTTGTCTCCATCTGTTATAAAGAAAATGAAAAAATGCCTAAATAGTTATAAAAAGAAAGAAAGAGAGAGACAGTTCCATGATCTATGTGGTAGGAGTCTAATTAGCACTGGAGGCTTGATTTCTTATGTAGGTGAACAGCCATGAACAGATGGTAGATGGCACTCGTAGGTGGGAGGATCTTTTCCTGTGGTCTGTATTTAGGGCTTTAGATCAGGCATAGATTAGATAGGCTGCTGTCACTTCTGGTAACTTTTTTATTGCTTGGGTTTTGTGGAATAGTCAGTTCTGATTGTTCAACCACCTTCTAGCGGTCTGATATTTCCTGCTAAACCTTTTCAGCGGCCTTGGTTCTGGAAACATTTTTCTATTCATTTTTTCCATATGGATATTTTTAAAAGTGTTCCATCATAAGCCATGAACCAAACCAATCAGCTACAAACTTTGATTTGAAGCAAGTATTTGAAAATTGGACAAAAAGTCCAAGGTACAAGATTAATAATGGAAAGACTACAGTCCCATGAAGCACTGCAAATGACAATTAAATAAAAAATGACAAGAGAGATAAACAACTATACTAAAGATGTTGATTATATATAAAAACAATATATTTTACATCTATTGCAAAATATGCATATATGTAAGTATTTAAACTTAATTACATCATTCACAGTGCTTCATGTCAGTGGGTGGCCACTAAAAAGTTTTTTTTGGTGTGATTTGCTTGTTTCTGTTCTCTGATTCATTTGCAGAATCGTGGGTAATGTAGTTTTTCTATGTGAGTAATAATATTAATATTACCGTCGTCATCTTGTTTCTAGGCCCATTGTTTTGTAAATTATAATTAACAATTTTTCACAACTGAATAATATAATATAATATAATATATCACAATTTATTTAGCAAAACATTAACCTTTTTATGATGGTAATGCTAGGGGTTGGGAACATTAGGTTACATGCAACTGGACTGAACTCAGCGACACAGCAGTCCATAGAGACAAATCTGCGGTTAGCAGACCTCAGTTGCATGAGAGTCCCCTTTATTTATCCTATCATATGCCATGAGCTAATTAGTCATGTCCGTTCAAACAAATAGTCATCATTTTCTTTTGATGTGTGTTCGTTCTCAATTAAAACATTGTTCTTACGGTTCGATTCTTAATTAAAATGGCTCCATCTGTTCCCGGGTCCTTTTCTGTCTCTTAGATACAAGGCCATTGTCAAGCCAATGGATATCCAGACATCTAAAGCCTCGCTGAAGGTCTGCCTTAGGGCTGTGTCAATCTGGCTGCTCTCCATGATCCTGGCCATTCCTGAGGTGGTGTTCTCTGATCTACACTCCTTTCACATCCCAGAAACCAATGAGACTTTTAAAGCATGTGCTCCGTACCCTCACGCCGGAGACCTGCACCCCAAAATCCATTCCATGGCCTCCTTCCTTATTCTGTACATCATTCCTCTCTTCATTATTTCTGTGTACTACATCTTTATTGCCAGGAGTCTGATTCAGAGTGCGATTAACATGCCTGTGGAGGGAAATGCGCACATTCTGAGGCAGGTGAGTTTAAAGGTCAAGTAGTGCTTTTGTTGAAGTTAGAATGGTTTAACAGTTAATAGCTGGTGCCAACTTTAAGTATTGCAATTAAAGTAATTTAATCACTTCTTCCGATTTATACATCCTGGTTTGACTTAGTTTACAGGTAGACATACAACAGTCATAAAGGCCCAGAAATCATTTGTAACATTCTAACTTCAAGGGATGTGTTTATGACAAGCACAGTGCAATTTAAAAAATATTTATTTGTGTCTATTTTCTGTGTTAATCTAGAAATTCAATAATTTAGTTAAATAATATTTTTCTAAGTCAAAGAACAAGTTTTTCCAAACACTTATATTTTATATTTGGAATTTAGAGTAGTTGTAACATATTAATGTAACATTTTCCTTTCTGAGAATGCCAGCGTTTCCATAAGCCGGAGTGCATGAGAGAGCATCTGTAATGTTAAAGTGAACCTCTCGGTTTGTCCTAATTGGTCTTGAATGGTGATTCAGGAGCTATTTTCAAAAGGTTTTTACAATACAAGATGAGACCAGAAACATCTACCTTGCTGTTCTATTGTTATATGAATAATACAGTCTATATTGAAAGGAACCATACCTGTATGTAAGGAACCATATGTACTAAACGTATAAGAGCATTTGGTTTCATAGGTACCTGCACTGAAAAAAATTATTGCATTTACTACATTTTTTTAAGGTAAGTGGTTGCAAACCATTTATTTTAGCTACATTTAAAAAAAAATTGAAAGTTAGTCATCTAAATTTGTTTATTTAAATGTAGCTAAAGTAATTGATTGCGACCACTTACCTTAAAAAAATTAGCAAACTCAATTAATAATTTTTTCAGTGTGTATCATGAATTTCTTGTGATTTTTAATGCACTTAAAAATATGTGAATAACAGAAATAAATGCATAGTAGTAAATAAAATGTAGTAGTAATAAAAGAAAGCTGAAGTGTGTAGTTTCTGTGCCACTATAGTGTCACCAAATGCAACTGGAATTTTTTTTTTTTTTTTTTTTACAAGTTTTTGAACACTCCCTCTGTCTGCTATTGGTCGAACAAACAATTAGCACCACACCAAAATCACACCATTGGTTGAGCCTGTGTTGTTGTGTCAGGATGGTCAGAAAGTTGAAACAGCTGGAATAGTTTTTTTTTAAAGCATTTTTAATTGAAAAATCGCACACTTCAGCTTTAAAATATTATTAGGGGATCTGAGGACAGTCTGTGATTTTGACTTTTCTGCACATGTGATATCTGTGCTTGTTAACCATAGATTGAGTCACGGATACGGCTTGCCAAGACAGTGCTGGTGTTTGTGGGTCTCTTTGCCATCTGCTGGCTTCCGAACCATGTGATTTACCTCTACCGGTCCTACCATTACACAGAAGTGGACACCTCAATGGCCCATTTCATCTCCAGCGTGTGCGCACGTATCCTTGCCTTCACCAACTCTTGTGTGAATCCATTTGCTCTCTACCTGCTCTGCAAATCCTTTAGAAAGCAGTTCAACAAGCAGCTTTGCTGCTGTTGCCCGACCATCTTGATGCATTCACAAAGCGCTAGGCGTAACAATACACGACTGACTTCAATCAAAAGTACCCAGAACCACTCTGTAGCCAGCTTCAGCCTTGTCAATGGCAATGTTGTCTGCCATTAGAGCTAAACTACTTCTTCTACAGCTACATTATAGAAATAGTTCACTCAAAAATAAAAATGAACATCTTGTTTAAAATTCTACATTTGCAACAGCATGCAGGTTTGTTGAGTAAATAATAACAGAATTTTCATGTTTTGGGTGAACTGTTCTTTTTAAAGTTTAGTTGTAGGAACCACATAAAATTGGGAAGCTTTTTTGCCGGTTGATTATTGATGGATTGGACTTTGTATTGTAATAGGTTCAAAAACTATTACTTGAGACTCTTCAGATCAAACAATGGATGTGAGAAATGGTAGACTTGATCAGAACGGAGGTGTCTCTAGACATGTTTTAAACATTTTAAAACATGAAAATAGCAAAAAAGTAATGACATGGTCAAAGACATCCATCTAGTGTACGTTCACATAGGAAAACAACAAAAAATTTACAAGTGAGGTGAACATTGCAACTATTTTAGTGAATTGGTGGTTAATTTGTATGAATTTGAATGATCTTATTTGTATTTTCTCATGTACTAATGATATCCAGTTTATCCAGTGCTATTTCTTCTCTATGTTCTTAAGTATCTTGATACTATGGGCCAGATTTACTAAACAGGGCAAATTAGTGGTAGAGCGCAATTCCATAAAAGCACAGATGGGAGGGGGAAATTCTGCGGGTGATTTACTAACAGTGCGCACATTGAAGAGCATAGACGCAACCAGATCACCTCACCAAGTATTTTCTCACCAACCTCTCCTTAGAGATATATAACAGAGCCATGTCTGTCCCTTAGGGAAATTTGAGGAGATTAGATTGAGTAAAAATAGATGTATGGGAGCAGAAAGTGGTGTTGAGGTCAGTCGGACCTTTTAAGAATGCTTGTACTGGAGAATATCAGTTGTTTTCCCACCGTTTTATTTTCTCTGTTGTCAAATAATCAATCGGTTATTCATGTTTTTTCCATTTGGGAGCAGATAAAGACTTTATTTGTTTGCCTACACTCACCCCATTACTGTTTTATGGCCTTTTTTTCTGTAAAATAGGGTTGTTGTAGTTAGCAAAAACTAAAACCATAACAAAATGTTTGTTATTTGAATCATAATAAATGTTAAATGTAAAAATAAACTTATTTTATTTGTGCTAGTTGTCAAGGCAACATTTATTATTTTCACTGAGCTGAACTTGATGTACTAAAACTATAACTGGAATAAAAATGAATAAAAAAATAGACTTGTCACTATAGAAAAATTACTAAAACTAATTAAAATTGAAATGAAAATAGAAAGTACAAAAAATTAAAACTAATTAAAATTATTAATACAAACTATATACTCGTATTTGAATGATACTAAAATAATAATTTGAATGATAGCATATAATTGCCCTCATTATTGGCAGTGAAGGCAGTATACACACAGAGATATAGATAACAAAAGCAGACACAGCCACAGTGCAAATTATTTTTAATAAGAAGAGAAAATGCATCTATTATGAATGAATGGATAGTAGGCGTCTTTCCTGCAGTCTAATTTTTCCAAATGTATTCTGTTCATCTGACAATGATGATTGTTTACTCATTTTAATGATGGAATGTATAATATTCAGCAGCACCAAACAGAACTGCAAAATAATAATGAATGTTTTCAAACAGGTTTCCTGAACACTCCCTCTATCTGCCATTGGTTGGGCAGACAGATGGTCACGCCCCCAAACTTATTCTGCTGGTTGCGCCAGTGTCACTGCGTCAGGCTAAAAGGCTTAATTTATTTTTTAATAAAGTGACTTTCACCAAGAATGTATCTTGTTTACACTGTACGTGTTTATAGTGATATATTGTGATAAGTAAATAGTGATTAGCACAAACAATGATGATTAAACCAGAGTGGCTGTATTTATTCAGAATGAGGCTGTGTTCTTGCTGCTGGTTAGTAAAAAAATGCAAGATGCGGTCATACCTAAAAGTGTTGTGTGTTTTCAAATAACATGGCATTTAACATTTCCGGGTTTTGACTTGTCACTTTGGATCAGTAAGAGCGTTCCTTATGCACATCTGTGTGTGTGTGTGTGTGTGTGTGTGTGTGTGCGAGTGCATGCTTTTAGAGTGAATGTGCACCTTGAAGTCATTAATCACACGTTGGTACTAAATGTAAAAAATGACGAGGTTGGATTTATTGTCGTGGTACTGTAAATTGCAGACTTGGAATCATATTGATCTGGCACAAAAATGAGTCTTCATGTGTCCCACACTGATGCCCAGTCACATCAATCTAACAGCAAGTCTGACGTTTTGACGTGTAATGGCTAACGAAACATTTGATCTTGTTTTATAACATTAGACAACATAAAGATGGGCGCTTTGCACAATTTTAAACAACAAACTTTAAACAATGTTTTTATCAAAACATACAAAATATGTGGTACTTCATGGTATCATCTAAAGTTTTTTTTTTTTTTCAAATCAAAAATATTATTTAATATAACTGAATCAAACTGACTTCAACTGGAATGCTAAATGCGGGTCTATTTTTGTTCTGTAATGGACAGTATCTTTCCATCACTCTCCTCTGGGCATGTGCAATGGGCTGTGCACTTCCTGTAAATACCTCATCATCAATATCAGGGTATCGTGGGAAATTGATCAAAGCAGTTTGGCAAGCACTGCATCAAATACAGGCTGGACACCACAGCATTTGAGGTACACAAGCATGTGGGTATGACTCTACATAACATATTAGTATTTCTAAAAATATATATACATATTTAGTATTTATGAAAATATCTGTGTACAGATTAGAGCTTTCTGTGTATATAATTGTGTTGCATCATGTTGTACGAGGCTCCAGATTATTTATTTAGTTATTCTGTTGTTTTGGTAATCTGTCAATTTCTTGGCTAAAACCTTGCAAAAACAAGCTATAGCCTTTGATCTTTTATCAGATATTTTTACAAGCTTCTGTCCTCTGATGCTATCGCTTTAATTAGGTTAAACCACTGAAAACACTTCCTGAGCTACTGGACTGTACATAACTGTTGACTGTTTTGCTTTAGAAACAAAATGTGCTTATTACGTAAAAAGCCATGTCATACAGAAAGAAAAAAAACCTTGATAAACTACAGAAGTTTACAAACAGAAATAAAATGTATGCATATTCTCTTTAAAATGTCATTAAACTACTTCAGTCTGTGTGCATTGAATTTATTTAATACATGAGTTTCACAATTTGAGTTGAATTACTGAAATAAATAAACTTTTCCACGACATTCTAATTTATTGAGATGCACCTGTATATACATACATACATACCACATATAAAATTGAAAAACAGAAGCAGTCAGACTACTGTAAACCGTGTGTGATTCACGTGCTCATTCATTATTTAGATAAATGGTGTAAAAAGTTATTTATTAGGCTGAAACATACATCCTACGCAATTTAGCCAGCAAAAAGGTCAAAGCAAGTGTGTAGAGTAACTACCAAGCATTAATAAAATGACAGGAAGTGCATTAAAATAGACTGAATTATTCTACAGAGTACAGAGTCCGCTGAAGGAACATCATTCTCATGTTCTTGTGATTGGACCCATATTTCTTACTGCAGTGCTGTTATTCACTTCATCCATGCCTATTTCTGACTTCTTTAGATGAAAGAGAATGCTCTCCAGCATTTGAAGACTTCTTCCCCATTCAAAGCTGCTGAAATGGTAAACACTTGGAAATGAGTTGGGTGCCCTTGCTCCTTTTGTAAGGAGTTGTAAAGATGTAACTGTTTCTCTGACAATCTATGCATGATTTCTCGTGAAATCTTAATTTAGCCGCACAAAATATTGGACAGATGTACAAAGCTCTTCTAAAAAGCATGTCACTGTCCACTTCACTTAATGATTCTCAAAAAGCTTAAGTTTCTTTTCTTTTATATCCTTGTTTTTTTTTCTTTTTCCAGTGGTCTAAGTAAGGGATATGTCAGATAATGACAGATAATGACAGGACTGTACATTGTCCGGATTATTACACGACTAATTAAGAAATAAATATGGATTTCTGTGGCGACTAGAAAATAATAGCATCCAAACGGAAGTTAGAATCCATTATGGTGACATTCAACGGTTACTCAGGAAAAAAGTGGATAGAAAAGCTAAAATGTATTTTAAAGTGTGACTGACCAAATCGACTGGCTTGGTTTGCCCCCAATTTCAATTTGAAATACATGATGAGGAGGAGTTTATTACATTTCAGTTTCATTACAACTGTCATGGGACTGGGCGACCCAGTAAAATTATGCCAAAGTGAGATTGTCATTCTGAGAGAAATCAAAGAACTCGATAGCTGAATGTAAGTTTTTGTTCAATAGAACGTTTCTTCTTTTCCCCCCAACAGAACTGTTCTCAAAGCATGTGCAGTAATGTACACTAAATCATGAATGAATCTTATGAAGAATATGGGAAGGTGATATTAGTTTTGGCATTCTCTTCTTTTGGATTTGACCATGCTTAACATCAGTGAAATGGAAGCCTGTTTTGAGAAGGTCTGTGAAGTGACAGATTAAATGTTGAAGTGTCAGGATGAGGCAGAAAATTTGAGCCCAGTATACAGTTGCCCAATTTGATTTTGGTTCTTTCCTTTACGAATGACTGGCAACTCTGAAGTACATAGTTGTTGTGTCTCTTGACACCACGTCATCTCAAATTAAAGGCTTGACTGGGCTGCCCATGTTTTTAATCAGAAAGCCTTCAAAAAATGACAGGAAACTAGTCGAAAAAATAAACCAAAGAAATCAACAAGTTTGGAAAACTGTTCACTGCTTTGTGTGTAGGCTATTGATTGAAGGGGGATACTAAGTGAATATAATATACTTGAAATGCAGTACATGAGTCATATATAGACCACTTTTATGAAAATGTTATGGTGTTGTTTGGCAGTTGTGTAGCTTGACAGCCCCGGTTCACATTACACTTCCATTGGATAAAAATAGACCAGCCAGGGTATTCAACTTTTGTGTTCTATGGAACAGAGAAAGTATT